AGCACTCCAGTGTTCCACTGAAACCAGTCCCGGGGCTACATCTGCCGCTTATGGCATAGAGAGCAACCTGCTTCTCAGAGAGAAGCCCTGCGTGTCCCACAGCAGCAGGTGGAGATATGTAATACTGTCCTAGAGATGGGGCAGCTGCACGGGAAGCCAGAAGACAATGGAGAAAACGCTTTCGAACTTGGAATTCTGTGCCAGCCAAGCTGTCGATTAAATATGAGAATAGAATAAAGCTATTCAGCCAGGGAAGGTCTATGTTTCAGCAATACAAGAAAGTAAACCAAGAAAGAGAAAGACATGGAATTCTAAATAAGACAGATGCAAAGAGAATAGGTGATGTTACGAAGTGCACACGAGCAGAAAAAAGTACAGATGTACCCCTACTCCATATTATAATAAAAGGCTTAGCCAATGTAGAAATAAAAGGGAAAATAAAGTAGGCACGAGAATTGGGGAGGAAGAAGCACAACAGACATCAGTGCAGCTTATAATAATAAGGGCGGAACGTCTGTAAGAATTTACTGCTGGTTACACTCTCACCAGCAGTGTATGAGACTTCCTGTTGGTCGACATTTTTTGTCACACTTAGCTACGTTAGATTTTTACATATTTGCCCATCTGGTGAGTATAAAACAGTATCTCATTGGAGTTTTAGTTTGCAATTTTCTGATAACTACTAATGTTAAGTATCTTTTCATATTTACATTTTCTAACTTGTGAAGTGTTTGTTCAAATCTTTTACCTAGTTTTCCTTCAAATTCTCTGTTTTTCTTACTAATTTGCTGGAGCTGTGGATGTGCTCCAAATACTTGAGCTTTGTAGGTTGTGATTTTAACAGAATTGAACTTACTAGTATCTCCTGTATGATTAGTATATTTTTCCCTAGTAAGAAATCCTTTCTTGGGAGCAGCACTGCGGCAGAGTGGGTAAGGCTACCACAAGCGACAGTGGCATCCCATGTGGACACCAATTCAAGTTCTGGCTGCTCTGCTTCTGACCCAGCTCCCTGCTAATGGCCTGGGGAAATCAGCAGAAGGTGGCCCAAGTGGTTGGCCCCTAAACCCACATGGGACACCCAGATGAAGCTCCTGGCGATTTCGGCCTGGCCCAGTGCTGGCTGTTGTAGCTATCTGGGGAGTGAACTAGCAGAAGGAAGATCTCTCTCTCTCTGTCTCTACCTCTTTCTCTGTAAATCTTTCAAAATAAATAAATCTTAAAAAATTATTTTGTACTCTGAGATCATATTCTTCCATATGTCCTAATCCACGTGCCTATTTTATTTTCTTTTTTATTTCTAGATATTGTTTAATCTTTTTTACCTATATCATGTAAGGTTAAAGGTCGTATTTTATCTTACCTGAATAGATAAAATGCAAGTTAAAACCCCAAAGGAGCAGGCATTTGACCTAGTAGTTAAAACACCCATGTCATGTATTAAAGTACTTGGGTTCCATATGTGGCTCTGGTTCTTGATTCCAGCTTACTGCCAATGAAGACAGTGAGGGGCAGAGGTGATGGCTTAAGTAGTTGGGTCCCTGCCACCCACATGGGAGACCTTGAATGAGTTCCAGCTCTGGCTGCAGCCTGGCCATTACAACAGTTGGAAAGTGAACCAGGGTAGGAGCAAGAGTGTTCTCTATCTCCCTCTCAAATAAAGAAGTAAAACAAAGTAAAAACTCGAGTGAAATACCAATACATACTAAGTATATTGGAAAATATGTGAAAATCTCATGTTGCTCAACGTGACAATGCAAGACAAGAAGTCTCACCACTGGTGAGAGGTAAATAGTACAGCTACTATGGAATACAAGGTTGTTTCAAAATGTGGAAAAAACAAAATTAAAAGATATGTTTATTTCGGTTCAATAAAAATTGAAATCCATGCATACTTTTTCATACTAGCATTCTCCAGGAATCCATCTTTTAAAGATTTATTTATTTGAAAGGCAGATTTGCCGAGAGAGAGACAAAGACAGAGAGAGAAAGAGATATGATCTTCCATCCGTTGGTCCACTCCCCAAATGGCCAAAATGGCCAAGGCTGAGCCTCAAGCCAAGGCTAAGATCCTGGAACTCCATCTGGGTCTCCCGTGTGGGTGGCAGGTGTCCAAGTGCCTGAGCCATCTTTGGCTGCTTTTCCCAGGTGTGTTATCAGGAAGCTAGATCAGAAACAGCACAGCTAAGACTTGAACCAGCACTCATAAAGGATGTTGGCATCTCAGGCAGAGGCTTAACCTGCTATGCCATGACATTGCCCCCCTCCATGAACCTCTTGAATTTATGCCTACAATTTTTTTTGCACTAAAATAAACTTATATCTTAATTCCATTTTCCATGAACTTTTTGAAGTACTTCATGTAATTTGGAATTACCTAGCAAATGTGAAGAAATGCATCTACTCTTTGATTCAGCAATTCTACCCATGTTAGACCCTAAGTATATTCATGTGCATCTCTATCAGAAAACATGTACAAGAATGTTCAGAATAGCACAGTTTGTAGTAGCTCCAACACCTGGACAATCCAAAAGTCCATCCACATAGAACAGATTAACAAAATACAGTACACTCATACAGTGAAATGCCATTTAGCAATAACAGTGAATGAAGTAGAGCCATATTGACAAATTTCAAAATATAATGCCTAAATATAAAAGAAGCACAAAAGAATCCATACTATATGACTCCATTTCTATAAAGGTCATAATATGGGGTGAGTGTTGGGTGTAGTAGTTAAGACACCACTTGAGATGCCCACATCCCAAATCAGAGTGCCTGGGTTACAGTCCTGGCTCTGCTTCCAGTTCCAGCTACATGCTAATGGATACCCTGGGAGACAGCAGTTGATGACTCAGATAATTGGACTCCTGCATCCCACAAGGAAGACTGAGTTTCCAGCTCCTGGTTTGGACCTGGTCCAGCTCCAGCTACTACAGGCATTTGGGGACTGAACCAGTGGATGGAAGGTCTCTATCTATCTCTCTGTAACTCTGTCTTCTGAATAAATAAATAATAAGTAAAGACTGAAATCGTCACTAGATTATTAAAACAAATTAAAGGTCATAATATATAAAAGAATTCATACTGCATGAATATATGTTCATCTATACATATATATGGATACATGTGAATATAAAGTTCATAATATATTTAACAATTCATATGATCATATAGAGATCATAAAGAATTTTTATTTTAAAAAAATCAGAAAAGCAAGGAGTTTTCTACCGTAAAATTCAAGCTAGTGGTTACCTTGGTATGAAGGAAGTAGACATGATGGATGGTATCTCCCAAGAACACCTGGAGTACTGGCTGTGCTCGCTGTCTTGACCTGGAGCTTGTTAAATGGCCATATTTATGTTGTGTGCATTTTTCTGTAAATACATATCACAACAAAGAGGATAAATAAAAATCAAATAAACCAAAATAATGACCATATTCCACTAAAGCTCTGTGTCTACTTTACAGTAATGTAAATAGCACTGAGTAATTGGTTCCTTGCATTATGTAGCCTCTGAGAAACTCACTGAGACAGAAGCCTTGAAAATTAAACCATATGTTTCCAATGCACTTGAAATGTTTGATCACAGTTGGCTCTTGTTTGTGTGTTTAGACACAAAAAGAAACCCTGTGTTTCTTCCCTCTAAGGAGTCCTAACTTTTTCTTCTGAAACATAATGGATCCTGATTTAAAGCCAACTTGCCTCAATGGTGATGCTATGAAATCACCAGCACACATGAACTTCTGGTGTGCACACGTGGTGTTTGCTGCATGCCTCATGCCAGGCCACATTCTAGAACCTTGTGACAACTTTCATCTCCACTTTACAGATGAGGATACTGAGAAAGGGAGGGGATAAGAAACTTGCTAAGATAATGTTGCTTCAAGTGGTAGAGCAGCATTAGAACTCACACTCAGGCCTGGCTGACCACTAACTCCTGCTCTCCTGTTGTGATCTTAACCACCAGCCTGGGTCGTTTTGGCACACTGAGTGAAGCCATCACTTACGACACCCACATCCCATATCGGAGTACCAGTTCCAGTCCCTGCTGCTCTGATTCTGATCCAGCTTCCGACTACTGCCTCCTGGGAGGCATTTACATGATGGTTTAAGTGTTTGGGCCCATACCAACCACATGGGAGATCTGGATGGAGTTCTGGGCTCCTTTCTTTGACCTGGGCCAGCCTTGGCTGCTGTGGGCATTTGGGGAGTGAAGCAGTAGAAGGAAGAGATTCTCTCTCTCTCTCTCTCTCTCTCTCTCTCTCTCTGCCTTTCAAGGAGGTGAAAATAAATGATAAACAATTTTTGAAAACCCCACCAGGCTACTGTGCCCTTGTGACCCCTCCCTAGAAGGGGCAGGTACCATGCCGGCGGGGGGGGGGGGGGGGGGGGGGCAAGGAAGTCACTTGTGCTTTTCATCGAGGGCTGTTAGCAGCATTTGATGGATCAGCAGAACTGGAGCATCCAGATATCGCTTCTGAGGGATGTTTGAAGAAATTCTACGATGAATCCTTTTTGTAAACTGAAAAATCAACCCCTAATGCGCCAGTTTTATGAACTCCTGGAGCCTGGATTGTTTTCTTGAAATAAACTCAGTTATTCCTTTGCTATACAGCAGAGGGCGCCTTTCACCAGCTTTTTTTTTAGAGCCGTTCCTAAGTGGTAATTGAGAGGGTGTGTTTAACAAGAGAAGAAATCGCAAAGTAAAATACAAAAAAAAAAAAAAAAAAAGACTAAGTTTTAAAACTTCATGAAACTCAGAAAGGAATGAAAGGGGTGGCAGAAAACCAATTAATTCGGTATCCCGAATTATTGCTAAAAGGCAGCACATGTCGGTGATTTCCTAAACTGCATTTATTAGTTTCAAATCCATGTTAGTTTCAAGTGTTGCACAAAATTACTTTGGGTTGAGGTTTTGTCCTTTTCACTTCCACATTTTCCGAACTCATCAGGCGGTGCTTGCTGCACTGTGTAGACTCCAGTCTGGGTATCAGTTTACACACAGCCTTCAGTAAATAATCCGCCAGAGGTCCACCCATCTGCCTTTCTCCTTCCCTCTCTGCCGGGCGAGAGACTCCCCGGGGCGGTGCGGCCCGGCGCTCCACCGCCCGCGTCTTCCAACTCAGTTTGCTGAAGCTTGCTTCCTGCCCATGACCAGCCATGCTTCGGGTGATTGTGGAATCCGCCAGTAACATCCCTAAAACAAAATTTGGGAAGCCGGATCCGATTGTTTCTGTTATTTTTAAGGGTAAGAAAAAGTTTTCTTCTTTGTTTTGAAGCTCAGTTTTGGAATGGAACTTCCTTGTATCATATTTTTCCAAAGTATGCATTTAGGCGACTGACAAAGTCTCTCCTACTTCTGTTACCTGAGCAGGTCAGGGGAGAAGACTGATTTCTGTGGAATGTATTTCATTTTCCCCAGGACTTTGAGAACCTAGAGTGATCTGATAGATTAATTATAATAAATAATGTGGGTTCTGTGAGCCCATGGGGGAAATAGACGTATTTGCTAGTCTCCAGATTTCAGGTATTAAAAAATGTCAGTGTCGGCTAAAAGAGCTACAGGAGGAAAAGAGACAACTAAATTGCTGGGAAAACTATCACTCCGTTAAACAGCCCCATGCTGCTTTACTGTCTGCGGGCTTTGGGCAGGTGAGGTGAAGTTCACATTTCAAGTGAGTTTGCTTTCAAGTTACTTTGTGCCTCTTGGTAATTGTTCCTCATCTCTATGCAGCTGGGTTTTTTTTTTTTTTTTTTTTTTTTTTTTTAATGCTCTGGAGTTTTTCAACTGCTCATGGGGGACAGAGCTGTGCATAGCATGTTGGTAGTCTGGGATCTGGTTCTGTCTTGTTGAATGACCTTGGCAAGTGACTTCATTTCTCTGGGTCTTAGTTTTCTGTGGAACAGATGAGGACAGTTTAGACTAGATTCTCTTTAAAAGGCCTATTGAAATTCCGAACAGTTTTTCTGTGACATGTGCTTGTGGTAGGTGTGTAGCAAGTGGCTCAGTTTTGGCTGGGATGGTGAGTCTAAATCTGGGTGTGCCGGCTTTATCTATCTTCTGTTTGTTTGTCCCTGGTCATTGGTAAGGTTGCCAGCTCACTTCTTGGCAGGGGGAGGGCCTTGGGAGGGCATGGCAGAAAGTGGCAGCCCCGACAGGCAAATGTTTCCTGACCACGCCTTGGCTCATTTCTCTCTCTTCCCCCAGGAACTTCATTGCCTCTTCCTCCTAGTTCCTGGGTAATCTGTAACTTTCCTCTTTCTTTTGTCCATTCTTTCTCTCTGTTCCCCTTCCCAAACCTCTCCTTCTGAGAGTGAAAAAAAAATGACAGAAATAAAATCCAAAGCTGCAATATTTTAGTTAAAAAAAATACATATCTGGAGGGCAAAAGTTGTATTCTTAAAGGACCGTGTGTTTGAAAATCGGGTTAGTGAACATCATGTGGTCGTGTTACGTCATGTTAATTTTAGTTTTTTGAAATCTTTTTTGTTGAAGCAAGGACAGACCATAAAGAGTTTGCATCCTTCACCATGGACATGTAAAGAAATATAAAAATATTTGAGGTTCAATCTGATGATGTCATTATTTAAGGCAAATCATGTAGAGTATAAAGGAATTAGAGTTAACGCTATCTTGAAACCTGGCTTATTTTTCTAGGGTGTGTATGCATTAGTTGAAAATTTTAAATGACCAAAAATATGTCTAAAGCTATAAAAGTAAACACTCAACTGAAAGTGGACAACTTTAGTTCAATTGGCAAATATAGTCAGTCTACACAAACATTTACATTTGTGAGATTCTTTAACTTTAGCCTCCTTTTTGGCCTCCTTTGGTTGTACAAATTGTGTGACAAAGTCATCATTCATTCATTCATTCGCCTAACAAGCAGCCGGGGACAAGAAAGAGTCCTGGATCAGAATGGGAGCATCTGGACTCTAGCTGATGTTACCTGGGCTAATCCAGAGTTCACCACCTGGGCCCCAAAGTTCTCTTCTGGAATGATGGAAACTCATCCCTTTTGGGTTTCTTCTAGCTTTCAGTTTCTGTAATTTTTCTAGTTCTGTGTATTGTTCATCTCCTCTCAGCAAGACATGGAAGGCATTGCCCTGGGTGCTTCGGGGGATATAGGAATGGCTATAATGCTTCTCTGGCTTTCCATCTGCGCCAGGGCTTTAACCACAGGTGATGGCAGCCTTTCTAAGGTGTGCTCCCCAGTTGCGATGAGCTTTGTGTAAAATTAAGTGACACTAGGTCCTAGAACTGAGAACCCTTTCTATCTGTCTGAGGGAGCATGGAGCAAAGCCAAATAGTCTGCCAGGTGTGGAGGGGTTAGAGTGCAGTGAGGAAGATGTTTGATCTGTTATGACCAAAGTAATGCCAAAGAAGCCCCTGTAGGCTGGCACCGCAGCTCACTTGGCTAATCCTCCACCTGCGGCGCCGGCACCCCGGGTTCTAGTCCCGATTGCTCCTCTTCCAGTCCCGCTCTCTGCTGTGGCCCGGGAGTGCAGTGGAGGATGGCCCAAGTGCCTGGGCCCTGCATCCGCATGGGAGACCAGGAGGAAGCACCTGGCTCCTGGCTTCGGATTGGCGCAGTGCACTGGCTGTAGTGGCCATTAGGGGAGTGAACCAACGGAAGGAAGACCTTTCTCTGTCTCTCTCTCACTGTCTAACTCTGCCTGTCAAAAAAAAAAAAAAAGCCCCTGTGTTCCCTGAAATGAGTAAACATTTTGCCTTTGAATACGTAAAACACAAAGTCAGTAAATAGCTCTTCTCAGACTCTTAAGACGGTGGGAAGAATGGCCACAGAAAGGAGATGTTGGTGGTGATGTTTGTACAGGGACTGTGAGGTTCCGTTAGACTGCACCTACACTGCAGTAGGGAGTGCGCCATCCGAGCCACCCACTGGTTGAGGGCTGACCTCATCTGTTGTGTTCAGAACTCTGCTGAGGCTGACTGTCCAACTGCTCAAGGTCTGGTATGAACCAGAAGCATTCAGGGGCTCCCAGAGTCCCTGCTGTGTGGCTGTGGTTGATATTCAGCAGTGCAGGAGCAGATTGTGAAAGTCACAAAGTTTATTTGATTTCTCACATCCTTGGGGAGCAGCAGGTTCCGTGAGCTGGCTGTGAATCCCAAGGCCAGAGTGCCTGCGAGCTGGAGGTGGCCACTTTCCCTTGGACAGTCAGGCTGTGAGGCTGCGTGGAGCTGAGCGGGATTACGTGGGCCTCAGAGACTTCTCTTGACATCAGCACTCTGTGATTCCCCCAACATAGTAGGTTTTTGAAGCTTTTTCAAATTGTAAATAATACTTTAACATTTTTAAAAAAGAACTATGTATTTGAAAGGCAGAGTTACAGAGAAAAGAGAGACAGAGTTATCTTCCATCCACTGATTCACTCTCCAAAGGCCACAATGGCCAGAATGGGCCAGGCTGACGCTAGGAGACCAAAGCTTCTTCCAGGTCTCCCACATAGATGTGGAGGCCTAAGGCCTTGGACCACATCTGCTGCTCTGCCAGGTTCATTAGCAGGGAGCTATATCGGAAGTGGAGAAGCTGGGATTTGAACAGGCACCCATGTGGGATACTGGGGTCACAGGTGGCAGTTTTACCTGCTACACCACAATGCCGAACCCTTAACATTTTTTTTAGAATAAAAAAGTAATGCATGTAAAAATAAAACTATCCAAAAGGAATTATACAACTATACAGTGAAAATTTTCGTCACACTTCTCCTCTTTCTCTCTTTGCACTCTTAACCATGAGGGATAACCTCTCTGAACAGTTTGATTTGAATCCTTCTCAACCTTTTGCTATATACACACAAGTTGTTCCAGCCACTGCCTGTTGCAACAGTCCTGCAGTGGAAGCCCTTCCAGTGCGTGTCCTTGTGAATATGTGCCCTTCTAAGGACTGATTCTGTGGTCTCTATGTACACATGTGCTTTTCTTCCTTTCCTTTCCTTTTCATTTATTTTTTATTTACGTATTTGAGAGGCAGAAAGACAGAGAGCTGTCATTTGCTAGTTCATCCCCTAGATTCCCTCAAAGGCCAGCACCACACCAGGAGCACAATCCAGACCTCCCACGTGGGTGTCAGGGACCCAATTGCTTGAGCCTTCACCACTGCCTCTCAAGATACGCATTAGCAGGAAGCTGGGGTCAGGAGCTGGAGTCAGGCTTAGAACTCGAGTACCCCAATGTAAGATGTGGACATTCCAGCCAGCAGAGTTTTGTTGTTGTTGTTGTTTGTTTGTTCATTTGTTTTTGTAAGATTTATTTATTTATTTGAAAGGCTGGGTGACAGGATCTTCCACCCCATGGCTCACTTCCCAAATGAAGCTGGAGCTGGACCAGGCTGAAGCCAGGAGCTAGGAAATATATCTGGGTTTCCCACATGGGTGGCAGGAACTCAAGTGCTTAGACCATCACCTGCTGCTTTCCCAGGTGCAATAGCAGGGAGCTGGATGGGAAGTGGAGCAGCCAGGTCTCAAAGTGGCATGCAGACATGGGGTGTGGGTATCCCAAGTGATGACGTAACCCACTGCACCACAATGCCTGGCCTGTGACCCACAGCTTAACTACTAAACAGACGCATGTCCCTTCTTTTCTTTTAGACTTGGTTTTATTGGTTATCAACTTTACAGTGTGGCAACATCACCGTCACATAAGACATCCTTCTCTAGGGAACATAGTTGTTAGCACTGTAGCAGTTTCTCATCCTGTCTTTCTGATATCTCCATCCCACCAGGAAGAAACTCTTCTCACTTTTGCTCAGTACAGATCATTTCCCTGTGGAAAAGCTATCACTACTGTCCAAATGGCCACCAAATAATTGTCCTGTTGTTAATTATTTTTCTAGATTCCTGTTATTTCATATGGACATATTTTTAGATTACACACCTAACCGTTCTAGGACACTCTCCACCCCGAATAAGCATATCAAACCTGTAGTCTTGAGCAAACCACTTAGTCTTTGTAATACTCCTTTATTATCCTTTGGGGAAAAAAAATGGGATATGGGGCCAGCACTGGGGTATAGCGGATAAAGCCACTGCCTGCCACACTAGCATCCTATATGGTTGCCAGTCAAGTCCTGGCCATTCCACTTCCATTCCAGCTCCATGCTAACGTACCTGGGAAAGCAGTGGAAGATGGCCCAAGTAATTGGGCCCTTGAACCCACATGGGAGACCTAGAAGAATCGCCTTGCTTCTTTGGACCAGCCCAGTTCCAGTTGTTGCAGCCATTTGGGGAGTGAACCAGCAGATGAAGATCTGTCTGTCTCTGTCTGTCTCTCCCTCTCTCTCTGTAACTCTGCCTTTCAAATAAATAAATAAACCTTAAAACATTTTTTTTAAAAAAATGGGGCAGTAATGACTTATCTGGAAGTAAATCTGTGGTGATCCCCAAATGCTGCGAGTTATCTGACAGAAACTTGCCTGATTATTTTTATTTTATTTTTTGATTTTAAAAGATTTATTTATTTATTTGAAAGTCAGAGTTACACAGAGAGAGAAGGAGAGGCACAGAGAGAGAGAAGTTTTCCATCCGCTGGTTCGCTCCTCAATTGGCCACAACAACCGGAGCTGCGCCAATCTGAAGCCAGGAGCCAGGAGCCAGGAGCTTCTTCCAGGTCTTCCACACAGGTTCAGGGGCCCAAAGACTTGGGCCATCTTCTACTGCTTTCCTAGACCATAGCAGAGAGCTGGATTGGAAGTTGAGCCGCCGGGTCTCAAACTGGCGCTTATATGGGATGCTGGCACTGCAGGCGACTGCTTTATCCACTACACCACAGCGCCGACCCCTGTTTATTTTTAGGAAGAGCTACTTTGCTATTTGAAATTTTACAGTTGATTTTTTTTTCAGATGAGGATGTTAATCCTAAGAATATTTTTTAAAAGACTTCATTTAAGAATAGTAAAGTTTGATGGCAGGAAGATCTCAGGGTTCTCATTTGCTGTGGCCTATGGAGGCACCAGATGGGTTTGCCCACGTGGTTATAGATAGCTATGCTGTAGACACAGTTACTCTGGTCTACCCAGGACTAGTTATGTTGAAATCTTTATTTAGTAAAGAGTTGGTCCTCTGTATATAAAGTTAATTAAAAATGAATCTTAATGAAGAATAGGATGGGAGAGGGAATAGGAGGTGGGACAGGAGTTGGGGTGGGAGGGTGGGTATGGGGGGAAGAACTGCTATATTCCTAAAGTTGTACCTATGAAGTTTGCATTCATTAAATAAAAGCTTTAAAAGGGGGGGGGGGTGGTTCCCACCAGTTCCCACCAACAGTCATGCCAGGGATTAGTGTGTGCACTGACATAACACTCAGCAAGGCAACAGTGTTTAATCTCCTGAGTCATCTTATGGCTTCCGGGAGGAGAGGACTTAAGACTCATGGCCCAAGGACAGTGGCCACACCCTCTTGAAGCATAGGAACTCACAGGTACCTCCCCAGGGCACAGTCTGCAGGCTCAGCCATTTATAAAGCCACAATTACCTTTTAAATTTAATTAATGTGCCTTGTTTTTCCTTTCTTCTTCCATTACATATTTTACTTGTGTGCTCTCCACCCAGAGTTGTGGGTATTTGTCTGGTTTGGATTTCTTTTCTGATTTCTTGGTGAGTTTCTGCATCGCCCTAGGATTTGGCTATGTCCAGAAAGCATGAGCACATCGTTATTTTTTTTTTTTTAAAGATTTATTTATTTTTACTTGAAAGTCAGAGTTACACAGAGAGAGAAGGAGAGGCAGAGAGAGGTCTTCCATCCACTGATTCACTCCCCAATTGGCTGCAAAGGCCAGAGCTGCACCAATACAAAGCCAGGAACCAGGAGCTTCTTCCAGGTCTCCCACGCGGGTGCAGGGGCCTAAGGGCTTGGGCCATCTTCTACTGCTTTCCCAGGCCGTAGCAGGGAGCTGGATAGGAAGTGGAGCAGCCAGGACTCGAACTGGTGCCCAGATGGGATGCTGGCACTGGAGGTGGTGGCTTTACCCACGATACCACAGTGCCAGCCCCAAGCATATCATTATTGATACTGATTATTCATCTTTTTTTTTTTTTTTTTTGACAGGCAGAGTGGATAGTGAGAGAGAGAGAGAGAGAGAGAGAGAGAGAAAGGTCTTCCTTTTGCCGTTGGTTCACCCTCCAATGGCTGCCACGGCTGGTGCACTGTGGCCAGCGCACCGCGCTGATCCGATGGCAGGAGCCAGGTGCTTCTCCTGGTCTCCCATGGGGTGCAGGGCCCAAACACTTGGGCCATCCTCCACTGCACTCCCTGGCCACAGCAGAGAGCTGGCCTGGAAGAGGGGCAACCGGGAAAGAATCCGGCACCCTGACCGGGACTAGAACCCGGTGTGCCAGCTCCGCAAGGCGGAGGACTAGCCTATTGAGCCGCGACGCCGGCCGATTATTCATCTTATATGTCGACCATAGGCTCAAAGAGCTGGCAGGAAGTTGGAGACATCTTAGTGTAGTGGTCATTGATCCCGCTAGGGAAATTGCCCAGTCTCCCTTCTTTCAGGCAGAATTGCCTTTAAAGTTCTTTTACATGTTTTATGGATAAGGTTTGCAAAGGCCATGTCACATATTCCAGAACATTCAGTGCAATCGATTCACCTGATTTCCAGGGACAAATTGATGTCTTAGGCTTTTTGCTTTCTTATCCTGGCAAGGAATAATGTGAAGTTGCCAGTTGAAAAATTCATGTCGGCCGGTGCCATGGCCCACTTGGCTAATCCTCTGCCTGTGGCACTGGAATTCCATATGGGCACCGGGTTCTAGGCCCAGTTGCTCCTCTTCCAGTCCAGCTCTCCGCTGTGGCCCTGGAAGGCAGTGGAGGATGGCCCAAGTGCTTGGGCCCCTGCACCCACATGGGAGACCAGGAGGAAGTACCTGGCTCCTGGCTTTGGATCGGTGCAACGCCGACCGTAGCAGCCATTTGGGGAGTGAACCAACAGAAGGAAGACCTTTCTCTCTGTCTCTCTCTTTCTCACTCTCTGACTCTACCTGTCAAATAAATAAAAAAAAAAGAAGAAGAAAAATTCATATGTGAAACACTAAGGGGTCTATAATGCATAGATTCAGAATGCCATGACATGGCAATGGTCACCTCACCCATTGTATAATTTCTATTGAACAGTATACCCCTGTAGAGCAGGGGTATACTGTGAGCGGATCTAAGTACAGTTCTCAGAAATAGCTATGGGACATCTGGCATTCAGCCTTATCAGCTAATTTATGGGGCATTAGGGGACCATGGCCCTCAGGGTGAGGTTGGCAAGGAGTAATCTGATATGGTTAGGGATAGCACTGTACTTGCACGCACTGGGCAGCAGTGTGGAGGCTAGGCTTGTCCTAGTTGAGGACACTGGATAGGTTTACCAGTTGAGGTAAACGCTTAACAGGGCAGAGGGACCTCATTCCAGGGCTGCAGTCAGAAGGAAGTAATAATGAAAAAATACTAACAAAACAGCCTGATTGATGAAATGCATTTAAAAAAAACCACAGTGGGTAGGCTGGATAGGCCCCCCTTCCTCCTAGTCAGGGTGTTCACCCTGTGGGTGGGTGAGGGCTAGGCCAGAGGGCTCCAGCATGAGGGTATTAGTCACCAGAGACGGGGGCAAGAGGCTGCAAGGAGAGAGAAGAAAGGCAGGGAGTCAGAAAGCGGTACTGGAAGGCAAAGTTTACTGTCTTGCCAAAGGTCAGAGGGGAGCGTTTCTTCAGCCAATCTGTGATACGCATCGCATTCATGAGAGCTCCTTCACTCTATACCCTTCTGTCCTACATGGAACGGTGAGGTGTCTGGTTAGGAGCTGTCCAATTGCAAGGAAGACACCCACTCAAGCTTGTGCAAGGACAGCTCAGGGGAGGGGAATTACTAAAGCTAGAGAGACATCTCCCAGAATCCAAACCATGGGCCTCACAGGAGTCTGACTCATGGCAGGCAGTGTGGCATGTGCTTTCTTTCTCTCCTCCAGGGACTGTGCAGCCTCGTGCCTCTGTTGCTCCCTGCACATGGCAGTGGTCACATGTCTGCACATCGGCCACCTTCTTGAGGCCTCTTGCATGGGCTTTGGGTTACCACCAGATGACTTCGTCTTGACTCTCCATCTAATTACAGTGGCAGTGTCTTCGAATAGAGATCTTTGAAAGAAAAACTGATTGGCCCGATGTTTGCCCTTGGGCCAATCAGCTGTGCCAGAGGGTAGAAGCCCAGGACAAAGAGTGTGGGTATGCCTGCTGTGTTCTCTGCACCTAGCAAGCCTCGGAGAGCCTGGACCAGGAACCGCTCAGCTTATCTCCCTCCATCTTCGGGATTAGAGCTGTTATTTTCTCCTATTTGTTATTGGACCTAACTCCCTATTTAATAAGCCCGCTTCTTTCTATACTTCACACAAGACATGGAAAGGGATAAGGTGGATTAAATATCACTCCTGGTTTTATCACTAGGAGTCAGATGTCTGTGGGTAGCTCCAGTTCTTGGCCTTCATTCCTTCACCTCTAGAATGGGCAGAATACTGTGGACCCTACAGGATAATGTATTTAAGGCACGCAGCGAAGTTCCTGACACGTCATCATCATGTGGCTAATGCTCATGTCCTCCCCTCTCATGCCCACTCAGCCTCCACTGTTGGGGCCATGGCTAGCTGACATTTCTGAGGGTGACCCCAGCTTAGCATTTTAGAACAAACAGGACACTCGTTGGCTGTGGCTGCATAAGCAGCTTAAAGGCAGAAACAAGTCTGATGTCAGTGGTGAGAGAGCATAGCAGCCTCTCGATTAGGCACATAGTAGATTCTTTGTTTCTAATTGTGGTGAAATACACATAACATTTACCCTCTTACTTTCTTTTAGTTGTACAGTTATTCAATGCATTCATAAGGCCTTATACCCATCACCACCGCCTATTGATAGAACGCTACATCTTGTAAAACAGAAACTCTGTACCAATTAAACAATAACACCCTCTTCTCCACTCCCCACAGCCTCTGGCAATGACCATTCTACTTTCTGTCCCTCTGAGTTTGCCTACTCTAAGTACCTCATTTAAGTGGAATCATCAATGTTCACAATTTTATGACTGCCTTATTTCTCTATGTCTTCAAGACTTATCAACATTGTAGCATGTGTCAGAATTTCTTTCCCTTTTAAAAAATTTATTTTCATTTTATTTGAAAAGCAGAGAAAGGAAGAGACAGAGACAGACAGACAGGGATCTTCTGTCCACTACTTCACTTCCCAAATGCCCCCAACAGCTGGCGCTGAACTAGGCTGAAACCAGGAGCTGGGGACCCAGTATGGGTCTCTCAGGTAGGTGGCAAAGACCCAATTTTTGGGGCCATTACTGCTGTCTCCCAGAATGCACATGAGCAAGAAGCTGGGATTGGAAGTGGGGGGTGAGAATTGCACTGATGTACTTCAATCTGAAGTATGAGTGATTTAAGCACTGTGCCATATACCTGTCCCCCTTTCCTCTTTAAAGCTGAATACCATAGCAGTGTATGTCTATAATTCATTTTGTCCATTGATGGACAATTTAAGTTGTTTTCAAATTTTGGCTACAGCAAACAATGTTGCTATGAACATTATGGTGTACAATTACCTATTTGTATGCCTATTTTCCATTCTTTAGAATCATACAAAAATTTTTATTTTTAATTTTCTGAGAAACTGGCCTACAGTTTTCCATAGCAGCTGAACCATTTTACATTCCTACCAGCAATGCATATGGGTTTCAATTTCTCCATATCCTCAACAGCACTTGCTATTTTCTGCTTTTATTTTTGGTTTTTTTTTTTTTTTTCAATAATAGCTATCCTAGTGGGTGTAAATATAGTAGGTTCTTAGTAACTCTCCATTGCCTTGGATTTTCCATTCACACTCAACTCATTACATCCTCCATGGCAGCAGTTAAACAATCCCCTTTGGCAGGGTCCCATGGGCAGCCCAAGAGAGCCTTATGCTTGTGGAGTCTGTGTGGCCAGGGTGTGCTGGGAGCCACAGCAGAGCTAAAGACCTGCGGGAAATAGCCTTGGTCCCCTACAATTCTAGGTCTTCTGATTGATTGGGCATCCTGCTCCTCCCAGAATCACATCCTGGGAGATCAGAGTAACCTTTAATCAGAACTCTCTGTAAGTCTATCTCCTAATATCCTAAACTCCTTTGTGGCACCTATTGGAATTATAGCTATATATTTTCTGGCTTATTGGATTTCTGTCTGCCTCCTCCATCTGACAGGAAGCTTTAGGAGGGCAGGGGCCATGTCTTTCTTCAGCATCTAGCTCGATGCCTGGCAGACAGTAGATGGTCAGCAAGAAGTGATTGAATGACTGATTCTGACTTCTCCCTTCATTCCTTCAGGTCAGGGTCTTCCAGGCCAAAGGGATCAATAGGAACAAACAGGACCAGATCTCTATGCCCAGAAACTGTTGTGGGGATCGGGACCCCCAACTGTGTTCAGGTAGACCCCTGGCTAGACTTAGTCCAGGTTCTGTCCCCTGCATGTTGGAATACAACTAGGGAATGTCAATAGAAATGAGTAGGGAAGCAAGATTTATTGAAAGGCAAGGGGATAGTACACACTCAGAGGAGAGTGCAGAAAGCCTCCTGAGGGAGAATTTCCCTTGCCCAGGCTGGAGTCCTCCTTTAACAGGATAATGGATGGTGCTCCAGGCACAGTCTGATTGAATGTTCAAAGGAGGAAGGGTTTGGAGTGGGGCTGCAGTGCACATGGTAAGCTCCAAGAAGGTGTCATGGTATCTTGTGCATGATGGGAAGTGAGGTTTAGCTGCATGAGGAGGTATGGCTGTGCCAAGCCTTCATCATGTTGAATCTGCATGGAAGGTGATAGCATTTGGACGCTGCCGGTGGCCTGGGTGCTGGCCGACCTCATCTCCTTGTGTTATTAGCTACCTGTCTACCTGTCTACCTATATCGAAACTACGTGACTGATCTTGGTTATTAAGAATGTCAGGAATTCCCCAGGCTTCTGGGATCCATGAAGCTGCATCTCAAAGGAGGCCAGAAGGCAGGGGAGTCCCAGGCTCCCTTTAACCTTGACCTGGGGCTTTGTCTTTTAATGGCAAGAAATCTCTCTGAATCTGTTTCCCCAGCTGTGAAGTGGGAATGAGACCTACCTCAGAATCACATATGATGGTAGAAGAGTATTTAAGGTGCCTGTTTTAGTCTTACCCTGCCTCTGGAAGCACATTGCAAAGAGAAAAAAATCAGGTTGGATTAGAGACTAAAGAAAGATGAAGTTTTCAGATCAAGTGGTGACCACTGACACAGCACCAGTAAGCTGTCCTTTCAGGTAGTGAAGCTGTGAATCTGGAAAAGAGGTGGACATTGGGTTCACTTTTGCCCAACAGTTAGTCAGTCTGATGAAAAGAAGGCAGACCACTTTACTATATTTTACCCTGTTACTCCATTTGACGATTATTTGTTTGTGTGCCAGATTATTTACAGCAGCATTGTACAATAGAACTTTCTATGATGGTGGAACTATTCAAGATCTGCCCTGTGCAAAAGGGGACCCACTAGCCATGTGGAAATGTGGCCTGGGACAGGAATTGAAATGTTAACATTAACCTTAATTTCAATATACATAACCACATGTAGGTCCTGACAACCACATGGGAGCGCACACACAGTGGCAGAACAGTCACAGTAGCTGACTGTCCTTGTGTGGCTCTCAGTGTTGCCAGAATCTCTACACCTCATCTGTAAAATGGAGAGGGTAATGGTGCCTTGTTTGGAACACAGTTGCATGAGCTGAATGCAACTGAAAATACCTAGACAGTGCTTTAAGCCTTCATTGCTACTTGGGTCTTGTGGCGATTTGGGCCTAGGTGATAATGATGCCTTCCTCTGATACCACCTCTACCATTTATTCACTTCATTTTTTTTTAAAGTTGCATTCATTCTCCATTTTATTTGAAAGGTGAAGAGGCAGAGAGAGCAAGATCATTTATCTGCTGATTCACTCCCCAAATGCCTACAATGGTTAGGTTTGGGCCAGGCCAAAGCCAGGAGCCAGGAACTCATTCTGGGTCTCCCATGTGGGTATTGCTTCCCAGGGTGCACTTTAGCAGGAAGTGGGATTCAAAGTGGAAGTGGGGTAGTTGGGACTCAAATCAGGCACTCCAATATAGGATGCAGGTGTCCCAAGCAGTGACTCAACTCCTGGCAAACACCCACCGCATCCAGTGCTTACACTGTGCCTCACACCTGTGTGTGTCCTAGCTTACTGAATCCTAAGAGCACTTTTTGGAAGTAGGTATTGTATCACCTTCATTTTCTCTATGAAGAGGCTGAGGCAGGTAGAACTGTGGGCTTAGCTGGACTCCAGGTTATCCTTGTGTACTCCCTGGGCTCAGAGTGGATGAAGAAATCCCGTACCACTGGTGCCTGCCCAATCAAGTTCAAGGAATGCCTGCCTCTCCCCGCCTTCTGAACAGTGGGTTGGGGTCATTGGGACTCATTGGGAAAGAGGAAGTGAGTATACCAAGAACAAAAGAACTTGAAAAAAAAGAAAGAAAAATAAAACCCAGCCTTCTTGGGAAAGCTTGCCACAGGATAAAGAAAGCCTTTATGTGTGATTCAGCGGCTCAGAGGTGACATAGCTTAGCTGTGAATCAGTTCCCCTGATAAGCAAGTGCAGCCATTTTACTAGTGGAGGCTAAACCCCTAACTTACTGTATATAAACTATTAAAACTCACATGTTTGCCTGGCAGGGTGAAGCTGTACTTTATTTTAACTCCCTTCTAGGTTTGTACCCTCATTATCTTTTTCATCCCAATAGCATAGCTCATAAATGAGAAAGGAAAAAACAGCTTACTAGCTGTTTAACACTGTGCTAAATGCTTCACTTATGTTTACTTGTTTAATTTTAATTTATTCATTTCCTCATCAGAGAGAGAGCAGAAAGAGGAGGTGGGAGGAGGGAAGTCATTTTAGAGATGAAGAAACTGAGTCTTGCATAAGGTAGGTTAAATGCCTTGATGAAGGTCCCACAGTAGAGCTGGGACAGAGCTGGGATATAAACCCTGCCCACTGTGGAGCCTGTGCCACCCCATTATCCCTTAAGCAAGGCTGAGTGCTTGGTCTTGGCCATGTCTGTCTTTGGTCCACCCTGTGGCCAGCACATGGGCTCAGGGCCTAGATCCCGCATGGCTGACAATGTCCTACTCTCTCTATTCCTTGGGCAAATTCTGTCCTGTCTTATTTGTTCTTCACAACACTAGGAGGCATTAAAGGCGGCTATGCACACCCATTTTGCAGATGAGGATATTGAGATTCAGAGAGATGGAGGAAGGCCAAAGCTGTTTAGTCAGGAAGAGGCAGGGGAGGATAGAACCTGGTTCTTGGCACTCCTAGTTGCATGCACTTTTCCACCCCTGCATGTGCGGTGGTTTTCTTTGTGCTTGGCATCTCTCTTGCTTTAATTTTACCCTCCGTCCCTGTCCCAGGCTCCACTGACAAACAGCAGCCCACAAATACTCTGGATTTGCAGATTTTCCTCAGAGCTGCAGCAAACAACCAGCTGAACTTGCTAAGGAGCCCAGAGTCAAAGCCATTTGCAGCGTAAGGAGGAGGGTTGAGGGGTGGGCATTTGGCCTAGTGGCTGAGACACCTGTTAAGATACTCACATCCCACATCACAGTACATGGGTTTGATTCTTTGCTCCGGCTCCTGACTTCAGCTCCCTGCAATTGGAGACCCTAGAAAGCAGCGGTCACAGCTCAGGTAACTGAGTTTCTGCCACCTGTGTGGGAAACCTGGATAGAGTTCCTAGCTTCTGGCTTCCAGCCCAGTCCAGGCCAATGTAACTATTTGGGGAGCAAATAAGAGGATGGCAGCTCGCTCTCTGCCGCTGCCTCTTAAATAAATAAATAAATAATTTTTTAAACAAAAGAAGAGGATGGCTGTGGAGAGTGGATTAAAAAAGCAGATAATAACAGAAATTCCACTTAAAAGACTGTTAACTGTGGGATACTAGGGCATGAGGGGAGAGTAAATTCATCTGGAATTTTCCTATAAGAAAAAGGATCTAATAATAAGAATCTGACTTGCTGCTTTTTTTTTTAGTTTACTTATTTATTTTATATTATTTATTTATTGGAAAGGGCAACAGAAAGAGAAGAAGAGACAGAGAGAAAGATCTTCCATTCACTGGTTCACTCCCCAAATAGTCACAACAGCCAGATTTGGGCCAGGCCAAAGCCAGGAGCCTGGAACTCCATCCTGGCCTCCCACGTGGGTGGCAAGGGCCCAGGTACTTGCCAGGTGCTTTTCCAGGTGCATTAACAGGAAGCTAGACCAGAAGCAGAGCAGCTGGAGTTCCAATATGGGATGCCGGTGCTCCTGGCGACAGCCTAACCTACTGTACCACCAATCCCGACCTTAGTGCTTTGCTTCAAGGTCAAGGTTTTTTTGTATGACTACTGAACTTCATATTCTCTTGATACCATTTCTTAGAGACAGAGAGGCCAAGAGGCCTGGATCTCCTAATGCTTGTCTGATGGAAGCAGCTGATGATTCTGATTTTAACCCAACACCTAGTAATGTGCCCTGTGGTCTGGGCACTTCTGTGATTTCTTGTTTGATTTTTGCTGCAACCCTGCCAGGTGTGCATTCTCCTCCTATTTGAATGAACAATTGAGAGGCTCTTTAGACCCAATCTCCTCAACTGAGTTCAAGGAAATTTGCCAAGTAACAGCTTTAATTCATTTTCTAGCAAATCATGTCTCAGAAACAGAAGGTCAGAAGCCGGAGAGGTTAAGAAACTTAGGAGCCACAATCCATATATTCAAATTCTGGCTTTGTTTCTCACTAACAAGTGACCCTAGATAAGTTTTCACTTTATTGTATCTCAAAATAACAATAGTAATAATAAGAATATAATGTCTACAAAACCCATGGAAGAGTGCCTGACAGATTGTAAGCCCTATATATGGTAGCTATTAGTTTTGGACATTATATACCAATTTTTAAAAAGATTGATTTGAAAAATAAGGAGATGGGAGAGAATTATTCCATTTGCTGGTTCATTCCTCAGATGCCTGAATAGCCAGGGCTAGGCCAAGTCAAAGCCATGTAGCAGGAACTCCTCTGGGTCTCCCACATGGGTGACAGGGACCCAAACACTTGGGCCACCTTTTGCTGCCTCCCAGGTGCATTATCAGGTAGCTGGATCAGAAACAATCCAGCATTGCAATATGGGATCCAGGTGTCCCAAGTGGCAGCTTACTCTGCTGTGCCACAGGGTCCACCCCTAGATACCAATTTTTACCAATGAAGAAATGCAGCTGCAGAATTGGAGTAAGCAGCCCATGGCCACACCCCTGGTAAGGGCTGTAAAAGCAGCAGCTTACACTCACCCTTAGCGTGCAACAGCTGTTAGAGCACAGATCTGGAGATGAAGCAAACCTGGGCTTGCAGCTTGACCCTGCAATTTACTAGCTCTGTGATCTCAGGCAAGTCAGTTAACGTCCCTGCACCTCCGTTTACTCATCCATAAATTGGGCATACTCATACTTCCCTTGCAAGGGTTAGGTGTGGATGTCTTGATAGTGCCCAGAATAGGCGTGGGCATCTAAGTGCTGCAGTTAGGATGCCACCTGTGATGCCTGCATTCCTTAACACAGTGCCTGGAACCGAATGCTGGTTCTGCTTCTGATTCCAGCTTCCTGCTCATGCTCACCCTGGGAAGCAGCAGGTGATGGTAGTTGGGTCGCTGCCATTTATATGGGAGACTTGGATTGAGTTCCTAGATCCTGGCTTCAGCTTGACTTAGCCCCAGCTGTTGCATTTGGAGAGTGAACCACATGATTAGAGAACTCTGTCTTCCAAAAAAAAAAAAATTAAGTGTCCAACACAGAGTGGATGGTAACACACAAAATCAACACCAATGGAGCCAGTGCAGACGCTTGGTCCCCCTAGGCTCTCACCACCTGCAGCCCTGGCAGTTGTAAAAGCTCAAACACGCCCACCACTCTAGAAGTGGTTTTAGAGAATGGATTCTGCATGAGTCATACAAATGGACTTCAGTTCTCTCAGTTCCCCTGGAGGAACTGGTTTTGATTCAAGGATTTACATGGCTGAAAGGGCTTCTTCCGAGGCCAGTGGGGCAGTAGGTGCAGAAGGGGGACTAGTAGCATGGCCTGTGTTTTTCTCCAAGGGTTGCCATTTTTCTGTGATGTCAGCAACAGTTTCAAGCATGCACTAAACAGTCTTGCTTTGTATCACCGTTGCCACTGGACCAAAATATTGTTCACAGCATCTTCCTGGAACATCGGAGCAGCCCGGGTTGAGAAGCACAGTGCCAGAGATGCTTCCTGTAGAGAGGTCTACCAGATGATCCACATCTCTCTGGGTCCCTTGGGTTTTGTCAAGTCTTGAGGGCTGAGGAGTGTCCTACTGGCCCTTCCCAAAGCCTCCTCCGTCCCCTGGTTGCTGTACTGTGGAAATGGCCAGGTCCTGACTGCTGCCAGGGAAAAGCTGCCCCAGGTGGGCCTCAGGGGTCTGGAACTGAGCCACAGGGTCATTCCCTCCCCTGCCTCCTGGGGCTGTAGAGCCTGGGAATCCACTGGAGTATGCAAGAGGGGCTGCCCGTCCCAATAAGAATATTCCAACAGGTCCTGTTTGCTTCATGTGTGCTGTGTGCCAGGCCGCATGCTGAGCACTTTGTATCCATTTTCCCATTCAAATCCTCCCAGCCCCAGACCCCATAGTATGAATCTATGAAGTCCAATGCACTCAAATTGCAGAGAAATTACTATGTAGTCAGCACTGGGGTGTGTGTTTTGGGGGCGGGGGGGGGGGGAGGCTAACAATGTTATAAAATAGAGTCCCAGTCTTCAAGGAGTGACTGTGTGGTCTTAATCTTACAACTTTAGAGACCAGGGTTTGAATCCCAGCTCCATCCCTGGCTAGCTGTGTGACTCCTGATAAGTTACTCATCCTCTTCGAGTTTTGGTTTCCTCCTTTGTCACTGGGGATGATCATAACAGAACTGACCTCTTAGGGTGGTTGTGGAGATTAAATCAGAGAATCATGGAAAGTACTAGACACAGTGGTGGGTTCACAGCACTTAGGAGCTGTTAGCTAGGTATAGATCAGCTTCAGGGAGTCCATGATGTGTTGGAAAAAACATGGCTATATTTGCATGTGCTGTTCATTTCTCAGAAGAAAGGGACCATGGTCTGGGGACCCAGAGAGGATGATGTAGAACTCCTGGATGGGAGGTCAGGTTTCGTGCCTGTTGATCTGCATTGGCTATCAAAGAGCTGAGTTACTCGGGGAGTCCTTGTCAACAGCACCCCCACTTCTCCTGGAGCCATTTCAGGAAGATAGAGGTTGCAGCTGCTCAGGACTTGGGGCCACTTCAGCGAGTTCATGTCCCCCCAGACTTGGAGGAAAGCTTAGAGATGATCTTGTCCCACATCACCAGTTTACACCTGAGAAGCATGAGCTTGGGGGTGGAGCCACGTGCCTTCCCTGGTGATAACAGCTGAAAGTCGTGGCAGCCTCACTGATTTGAAAGGCCAGTGAGACAAGCCGGGCCGACGGCTGCCATCTTCCCTGCATCAGGAAGACATGTGTCATGGGGGAGTCTTCCAGGCATGTCACCTCTGTGGGGGCTGTTACTTTCATGCATTGGTTGCAGTAGCCAGGCTCGCAGAGAAACAGAACCAGTGGTGTGTGTGTGCGTGCATACACACAGATGCTTTTTGACCTACAGCAGAGTTATGTCCAGATCAACCCCTCATGAGGGCTTGGTTAGAGGGCCTCGTCCCAGCTCTGTGATTTTGGGAACGTTACCCAATCATTCTGAGCTCTCTGCTTATCTGCAAACTGGAGATAATAACAGCACCTACCTCACAGGCTTGCTGGGAGGAGTAAATGAAAAGATGTTGAAAACACCTTAAGTCAAAACTGCATCTAATCCACCTCACCTGTAGTGTGTGGGCTTATCTTCCCCCTCGTGGTCGCTCAGCTGATCAGGAGCTGCAGCCCCAGCCGCCACCCAGCACCTTGAGCGGGTGCTCGGCTGCGCAGCGCTAGCCTGAGAAAAGGTCAGAATTCACAGTGTAGCCCGTGTGTGTGTGTGTGTGTGTGTGGTTTTCATGCCATGGTGAAGCTGAAAACTCATAAGTTGCATCGTTGTAAGGGAGGGATTGAGATTTTAAGAAATCAGCTCATGTGATTGTGGGGACTGGCACGTGTAGATTTCCAGGGGACTGGAAATTCAGGTAGTCGTGAGTCTGAAGTCTGTGAGGCTGCAGGCTGGCTGCTCAGGCACGGCTTCTAGACTAGTCTTCAGGCAGAAATCCTCCTCCGGGACACCTCCGTTTTTGCTCTTGAGGCCTTCAGTTAATTGAGGCCCACTCCACACTATGGAGGGTAAATCAACTTAAAGGAACCGACTGTGAATGTTAATCACGTCTAAAAAATATCATCACAGCAGCATTTAGACTAGGGTTTGGCCAAACAACCAGGCCCCATAGCCTAGCCAAGTTGGCACATGACATTAACCACCACATCTGACCACTGAGCACAGGTATCGGAAGCCCACCTTCGGGACCTGGGATTTTTCCAGCCTTTTCAGTAAGGATCTGACACACTGGGTGGTAGGTGCCCAGCAAAGGAAGTGGCTCTGTATGAGAGAGAGGGTGTGGCAGCTTGGCAAGGGGAGCAGGTCAGTTCTTGGGAAACTGTGTTCCGGGACTGGCATTCAGGTTAATTACTGTGGTGGTGACCTTCACAGCACGGAGCAAGAGGCAGGCAGAACTAATCAGAAAACAGGAAATGTCCTGAAGAATGCCTTGAGTCATGCTCCGGAGAGGGCTGTGTGGTTGAGTCAGTTATTATGCTCTGGATCGAAGTATCTACTCCCTTTCTATAAGGCGAAAAAATCAAGCATCTGAATAAAATTAGAAGGGGGAGCCGGGGTGGGGGTAGGGGTGGGGGAGGGGATGTGGACTAGAGGGAGGGGGATCTCATCTCATGTTCAACACCTGCAACTGTGACTATTTGTTTTTTAAGACAGTCTTCGGTAATTGAATAACAAATATGTGCTGTGGCTGCTGATAAGGAAGGAATGATCTTTTTTGTTTGGGGCTGACTGTTTATATATGAGAAGATGCTTTCAATAAAATGTCGTGTATACACATTTTGACAAAAACCAGAGCCTCCATTTTGGAAGGGATTGAACTGGAGTTCTCCAGGGCAGGTGCTAATGTCAGTTCCTTCATTTTTCCCTAAAGGCAGATAGGAGACTGCAGTGGTCCAATGCGTGAGCATGGGAGTCAGACTAGACCTGGTTAGAGGGTTTCTTCCTAGCTCTATGATCTCGGCCAAGTCACCACTCATTCGGAGCTCTTTGCTTATCTGTAAACTGCACATAATAACAGTGCCTGTCTCCTATGCTTGCTGTGAGTATTAAATGGAAAGATGGAAGCAAAGGGCTTAGCAGTGCCTGGTCCACAGGGAGCACACCCTGGAGGGTAGTACTGTTGGCTCTGACATCACTGGCCCATGTCCAGTGCTGCAGGACGTTCCGCTTGACAAGCCCTCCTGGCTCTGTGGTCAGCAGGCATCTGCTTGGATGCCACCACCCACCCCACCTTTATTTTCCAAACCCAACTGAATCATGTGTCCCAGAGCATGGGTATCATCTGAAGAGCTTCTAGGAAACTTTTCTCATTGGATTATGAACTTGAAGTGATTAAGTCTGGTTTCTAATACCCTCTTCTCTTAAGGGTTTACATCAACCAAATGGAGCCTTGCCTGATACTCAAGGCCACACAGTGTGACCCTAACCTGGCCATGCAGCTCAGTGGCCTGCTGCTGCCTTCCATACTTCCGGTCAGTTGGCCTTCACAGAGTCCCTGACATGAGGGGTTCTCCCCTCCTCCAAGGTTGACCCACCCATTCTACTGCCTCTGCCTGCCGTGAACTTGTCTCCCAGCTCTACGTTTTCAATGCATCCTTGTCTTTCCACCCCAACTCAGTCTCTGCTTCCTCTCTGGGGCCTCATCCGGGGCACACAACCTGGAGTCCCCTTTCTCCCTCTGCTCTTGCTTTGCCCTCTGTGCCTCTCTGATAGCAACTGCACGTCCTTTCTGTATCCATCACCTGTGGCCACACTGACCTCCCCAGAGACTGCCAGGGGCCAGAACCATGCCTTGCGTATTTTTGTACCTGTCACAGTGGTGTTTCACAAAGATTTGTTGGATAGAAGAATAAAAGAGTTGACTAATGTTTGTGAAAACGTCACTGAATGGATTGTGAGGTCCCTTGCCTGAGTTGGCCAGTCGTTGTTCCCATGATTCTGACTCTTACTGGAGAGAACTCCAGGATGAGGATGAAGCACACAAGATTACAATAAGGCTTCTTGCTAGACTGTAACCAGACAGGAAGACTGAGTTTATGTCAGATGAGGGGAGTCAGTATGGAAATGGGGGGGGGGGGCAAGAATTTAAGAAAAGCTTCTAGGTGACCTCACAATCAGATCCAAGGTGGGCGCTTGGTCTGAAGTCTAAGATGCCACTGTGTGAATGCTCACAGCCCACACCAGAGAACCTGGATTCAATGCACGGTTCTAGCTTCCTGCTAATGCAGACCCTGGGAGGCAGCGGTGATGGCTCAAGTAATTGGTTTCCTGCTACCCATGTGGGAGACCTGAATAGAGTTCCCAGGTCCTGATTTCAGCCAAGCCCTGGCCACTGGAACCATTTGGGAAGTGAACTTGCAATTGAAAGCATTCTCTTTCTTGCCCTATCTCTGTCTACTTCTTAAGTTTTTTTTTTTTTTTTTTAATTATTTAAGAAACAGACTCAAACCCAGAAGGGGCTGTGTAGACCACATAGAAAAACCACAGTCAGAACTGACCAGTAGCATAGGTTTTTGGCCTTGTAGTTAAGCCATGAGTTAGGATGTCTGCATTCCATATTAGACCTTGAATGCTTGAATTTAAGTCCCAGCTTCTCTCTTGAGTGCTGATACACACCTTGGGAGGCAGCAGGTCACCCTGCCACCCATCTGGGAGACCTGGATTGAGATTTTGCTTCCTGGCTTTTACCTGACTTAGTTCTGGCCATTAGGGACATGCAGGGGAGTGAACCAGCAGATGGGAGCTCCTATTCTGTCTGTGTCTCTCTCTCCTTCTATACCTCTCAAATAAATAAATAAATCAAACTTAACCAGTGTATGTTCCAGCATGAGCTGATGAAAACAGACATGTCGAAGTTTCCAGAGGAAAGTTAGTAGCCTAGTCAAGTGGAAAAGTTAATGCTTAGCAGAGTGATGGTCATGATTCATGGTCTTGCAATGCTGAGGTCTTAGAAGAATGAAGTGGTGAGTCCCACAGCCAGCTGTGTGCTGCGAGTCAAAGCAATGTGACATTCAGCTGGACAAAACCCACTGCCTCCTACATTGCACAGCAGTCAAAGGCAAGCAGTGGCTGAGGAGTGTTTGACAGTGTGGCCACCTGCCTGGGTTCAAATCCTGCCCTGCTGCTAACTAAGTGGGTGAATTTGGATGGGCTCCTTCACTTCCCAATTTCCCTAGCTGGGGGAGGGAGATGGAAATATTCATCTATACTTCCAGGATTTTTTTTAATTCAGGAATTTGGGGATCCAACTGCCTTTTTCTCTTTGTTTTAAAACAAAAGTGAGCACCAGCTGGATTTAAATTTGCTCATCTCAGTAGATGAATCACCTGGGCTCAGATACCAAGAAAAAAGGCATTGGGTCTGCCAAAAAAAGTGGGTTGGCGTAAAGGGAACCCCCAGTTCTCCACTCATCCTACAAAGTGTTCATCTATTAATTACCTTGCACTGAGGCTCTGGGAAAGAATACGGCTGAATCTTTAAGCCGTGTTGGTGTCTTGCCATACCCGGAGGCAGTGTGGGCTTTGCAGCTGAAACAGCTCTTACCAGGAGACCATTGCCACATTTGAACTCAAACACATTTCTTACCTCTTTGAGCCTCAGTAGTCTCATCTATAAAATGGCAACTCAGCATCCCAGAAATGAGATTTGTCAATTTCTTGATGCAGTAAGCTGGAGACACAGAGGCCTTGGGTAACCTTGGTTTGGAGGAGTTGGTGGGGGAAGGGCAAAGCATCGCAGCCTTTCCAGGATTTTGAATCCTCCATCCCTTATGTCCTTGTAGATATGGGGATGGGAAAAACATTTTGGACCAAGAAATGTCATTCCTCTTGGAAAACTGATTCAGATAGCTCCTGTCCTAGGCAGATGAAGGGGGAAACGTGGGCACATAGGAGGCCCTTAGGAAATGCTCTTTGAATGAATAAAAATTGATACACACTCTAATTATTTCTAATTGAGAGCTTTTTCTTTTTGTTATTTGCAGATGAGAAAAAGAAAACAAAGAAAGTTGATAATGAGCTCAACCCTGTCTGGAATGAGGTAACTTCATTGTTTGTTCAACTTTGTTTTGATGGATAAGCTATATCCCATTGTTCCATCTTAAGGTCAAGGGTTAACTCCTTTGGAAGGAGAATCATACATTCCAACTCCCACCCTATCTCTTTGTGCCTACCAGCGAGCAGAGCAGTTCTGTGTCACCTGGTGACCATGATGTGTAAGGAAGTTGTGCAGGAAGCGGAGCCTGGACTGGGAGTGAGGAGGATTGAGTTCACTGGTGCAGCCTTGAGCTTGCTGTGTGACCTTGGTCCCTGTGTGCTGCACATCTGGGGCACATCTGCAGAGCAAGGATTAGAATTAGGTCATCTTCAGGATCTCGGCAGGAAAGCTGCATGATGAAAAATCTATCTACATGTGAATACTGTATCACATGATACTTGGTAGGTCTGGCTGAATTATGAAACTTAAGTTTTTTATGTTGATAAAAGTCATATACATTTCATGTAGAAATTTTGAAACCTCCAGGTTAGCATTAAAAAATTAACTTTGGGGCAGGCATTTGGTGCAGCAGTTAAGATGCTGTTTAGGACACTTGCGTCCCGTATCAGATACCCAGGTTCAAGCGCTGACTCTGCTCCAGATTGCAACTTCCTGCTGATCCACCCTGGGAAGCAACAGGTGATGGCTCGAGTGGTAGGGTCCCTGCCACCTACAAGGGAGACCTGGATTGAATTACAAGCTTCTGACTTCAGACTGGCCCAAACCTGGCTGTTGTGGGTATTTGGGAGAGAGAACCAGTGGGTGGAAGATCTCTATCTATTTCTGTGTCTCTGCCTTTCAAATAAAATTAAAATAATTTTAAAAATTAACTTTGTCCCACTCCCTAGAAGCAACAACTGTTGCATCTGTGTGTATCTATAAATGTTTATTGAATATTATATTTGATAAAATTGCTGAAATACAAGCTGGTATCATAGTGAATACAATTTTCTATCCTATTTTTTCTTACTATTTTACCCTGAGTATATTTTCATATCATTTAATTCAAAAGCATCTTTAATGACTGTATAATATTCTGAAGGAATGTAGTATAACTTATTTTCTTCCCCCTTCAACTGTTGACTTTATATATTTTTTAAGATTTTATTTATTTAAAAGTCAGAGTTACACATAGAAAGGAGAGGCAGATAGAGGTCTTCCATCCACTGTTTCACTCCCCAGTTGGCCGCAACGGCCAGAGCTGTTCCAATTCGGAGCCAAGAGCTTCTTCCGGGTCTCCCACATGGGTTCAGGGGTCCAAGGACTTGGGCCATCTTCTAGTGCTTTCCCAGGCCATAGCAGAGAGCTGGATTGGAAGTGGAGTAGCTGGGACTCAAACCAGCGTCCACATAGGATGCCGGTACTGCAGGTGGTAGCTTTCCCCGCTATGCCACAGTGCAGGCTCCAACTTTATAAGTGGTTTTGTGCTTAATATTTTCATGAATATGTGAGAATTTTCATTCTTCCCACTAAGTAGGATTTTTCCATTCTTAATTTTTTTTTTTTTTAAAAAGTTGATGATCAAACATCACTGGAGCAGAGCAGAAATAAATGTCTTTGTTATTTTCACTGAGTCACCAGTTAGGAAGGCTTCCCCTCCAGCCACTGCGAGTTCCTTCCTCTCCCAATTGATGTCACTACGGCTGTCGGATAAAAGCAAATCTCATCATTGAAGGAGGGGAGATGGCAAGCTTCTTGGTGGCTTTCTGAAAAGCCTCGCTGGTCTCATGTGGTTGACAGGGAACTCCACTGCTCCGAAATTCCACCAGAACCCCAAACGCAACCAACTGGACGACAAGCTCCCGTGAGAACAAGAGGCCTGTTAGCTTGGTCCCTATGGACTTCTGGAACCTGACACAGACCTCCAGGAACAAGAGATGATAAAATATATTCGATGTGTGTTTATTGCCTCAGGTTTTGAATCATCCTAACATGTCTCAGTGTTTGAGACCAGTCCATGTGGCTGATGGCAGAGACATGTGTTGTCATGTGAGCTGGCATGACTTCAACAGGGCATCATCCATCTTTTTTCCACTTTGCTCCCCACATGGTTTGTTTTCTCAGATTGCAAATATTTGTCAAGTAAATGTCCCAATTGCAGTTTTATAACTGAAACCAAACCCAAATGAAATGCTAGCCCCAGATGCATTGGACTTGGTAGCTGTGCTATGATATGAGCTTTGAGACATTTTTTCTCCCATTCTAAACCCACTACTAGCCAGACCAATTCATTTTATTTTATTTGGTTCATATATTGTCTAATCAATCAAAGGCAGCAGTGGTGCTATGCTGATTGGGAAGCAATTTGTTGAATTAAAATGAGACTCGGAACAGGCTCCGAGTCTCTAGTCACTGTCTCTGGAACTGACTGTGTGGGACTGAAAGCAAGGACTGCATTTCAGAAGATGTTTTCTCAGATTATTCATCTTCATTTGATAGTAGTATGACTAAAAGCAAATCATATCAAAATAACCATTGTATTTCACATATACATATAATTTTATTCTTGCAGTAATTATGGTAGATGTTAAGACCAGATCTCTGGCTATGAGGCAAGGGGTTAGTGGCTTGTCTAAAGCCACAAAACCCAGAAAAAGGGAAGCCAGGAGCTGCCTACAGGTTCTCTGGGTCTAAGTCAGGTTTTCTTTTTTCGACAACCCTCAGCTGCCTGCAGGCTCAGAAATTAATCATTTCTGTCTATGGAATTGAGTAAGTCAGTAGTGAAAATTCTGACCTGACATGCAATATCAGTGCATCTTAGCCCTTTGCCTGATCTTTTTTACTTGCTTAACCTTTCCGTGAACAGATTCTGGAGTTTGACTTGAGGGGTATACCGCTGGACTTTTCATCATCCCTGGGAATCGTTGTGAAAGACTTTGAGACAATAGGACAAAATAAGTAAGTGGCTTTTAACTGTTTTTCTCATTTTAAATACTTTCTTACTGCTTATTTTGTTGAAGAAACAGATTGTTTGCCTCATAATACTTCGAATATAATTGTGCTTTAATTCCATGCCCCTCTCCCTTCTGAGCCAATTTCTGATAGGGTTATACCAGTCGCAGCAGTGACTACAGTATTCCAAAGAGGCTGCAAACACCAAATCTCCACTAGTCTATTCTGCACTTCCTCTGTTAACCGCACAGAGTCACGTTCAACCTTGGGGTTAGTTGTTGTTGTTGTTTTTTAAAATCTGGACTGTAGCTATATTGGACACGACCCAAATAATTTCTTCTGATGTGTGATTCACACACATCTCGTTCATCTTCCAGTCCCTTTCCATTTTAATGTCTCCTTCACCTTTTAAACCCACCAGACCTAATCCAGACTCCTGGTTTTACTGCTTCTTCAGTTTCAAGTAGGGAAGGGGATGGTGATGCACATGGTGACCCTGAGGACTGTCCTTTGAGTAAGGTTGGGGGCTTCCTAAATAGTCCCCGCAAACAGAATAACCTCAGGAAACCTCCCAGGCCTCCACTTGGACCACAGACTCAGAACCTGGGCTTAGGTTACCAGTGAAAACTGACAACCACGGCCACAAGACAGTAGTGCTCAAAACCGGAACTCCTACTTGTTATTTCCCCATGGAAATCCCTTGGTGGGAGGGCATTCCTATCTTCTGATCCATGAATTTTCCCAAAAGTCATGTCAAGTGGGAATCCTCTGTATTCTTGATTGGAATATGTTATTCTTCCTAAGATAATTATTAAATTAACAAGAGGTTAGAGGGAGCCTGATATTTAATGCCTGCATCAGTTTTAAGAAGCATTCCAGTAGTGGATTTTATTAGTCTGTTATGAAAATGCTTATCTTAGCTCAGGCATGTTTGGTATAAACAGAAGGCTGCAGTGAGAGCAATAAATTAGGATGGAACAGTTGAAGCAGGCAACCGTATTTCCTGATGTGCTTGGGCTGTCTTGGTTATGTCCTCAGAACAATGCTTAACGATACCCTTTGTGCTGTTAAGAGTAGCATGGTTTGAACAACAGATTCCATGGTACCCTCAGTCATGGGGGTCTTTGCTCGGTGGCATCAGACTAAGAACCTGGACAGACATTTCCTCCTTGGCCAGTGCTTTGATAGGCACTGCCACATTCACCCTCACTGAGATAATTTTCTCTGTGCTCCTTTGACCCAAGCCTCTTAGGACAGAAACATTTTTTTCTTAACTGCATAAATACTTTCTGGTACGTTCTGGTTCTACTCCCTTGGGCTGAAACCAGTCTAGATTTTTAAGATTATGTTTGTATGTTTGTATTTTAAGATGGTTAGGTTTCTCCCACCCCAACTCCCAGAAGACAGTTTATTTTTCAAACTTCAAAGTTCTGGAGAAGCAGATGGTAGAGTCTCATAATAACCTCCAGTGTGTTACTAACAATAACCCCTTCACTTCTCGACTTTTCATTTCTGCAAATGACACTGGTATTGGTATTCTAGAGACCAGTTCTCTAATAAAAATACAGTACAGGGTGCATCTGCATTTAGAAATATTCCAGTACTCACATTGACAAAAAATAAGATAAATTGTGGTAATATATTTAATTCAGTATATCAGAATGTTGTCATCTCAACACATAATTAGTATTTTTAAGTAATTGAGATATTTTACATGCATTATTTTCCTACTAACTCTGAATATGGGGTGTGTTTCACACGTGGAGCCTCTGTGAATTCAGACAAAGCCACACTTCAAGTGCTCTGGAGCCGCATGTGACTGGTAGCCACCACATTGGACAGGACGGTTCAGACCGCTTGGCTCAGAAATCTCAAAATTTCAGACTTTTCTGGATCTGCTCCCTTTGGCATCTCACTCTATCTATCCCCACATCTTAGGTTGGCTTTTTGTTGTCTGTGTTGTGGGATTTTTTTTTTAACCTATGCCAGACCCAGCAGCCTGATTCAGGCTTTTATCACTTTGTACCTCATCTATTGTAGTATGGTAACAGAGCCTGATGGGGTAGCCTTGGACCACTCATCACAAGTCAAACCAAAGTCCTTGCTTTTCTGAAGGTTATATACAAGGCTACTTAAAAACATTTATAGAAGGGGCAGGCGCCATGGCTCACTTGGTTAATCCTCTGCCCGCGGAGCTGGCATCCCATATGGGCGCCGGGTTCTAGTCCCGGTAGCCCCTCTTCCAGTCCAGCTCTCTGCTGTGGCCCGGGAGGGCAGTGGAGGATGGCCCAAGTGCTTGGGCCCCTGCACCCACTTGGGAGACCTGGAAGAAGCTCCTGGATTCAGATCAGCGCAGTGCCAGCTATAGTGGCCATTTGGGGGGTGAACCAACGGAAAGAAGACCTTTCTCTCTCTCTCCTGCTCACTGTCTATAATTCTACCTGTCAAATTTAAAAAAATTATAGAAAATAAAATTAAAATATAATGTATGGGGTGTGTGTTTGGCTTACCAGTCAAGACGATCACATTCTGTATTGAAGTACTTGGGTTCAATTCCTGCCTTGAGTTCCTGATTCCAGGTCCCTGTTAATGCAGAGCCTGGGAGACAGCAATAATGACTCAGTGAGTTGGGAGACTTGCAATGAGTTCCTGCTCCTGGCTTTGGCCTGGCATATCTCCCTGGGCATTTGGGGCATTTGGGGAGTGAATCGGGGGATGCACCTTGTCTGTGGACTTTTTGAGGAAACTTGTACTTGAAGGAAAGACAGAAAACAAACAAATATACTTCAGATACTATGAAGTACTATGGGTTAAGGAGGACACGGTTACAACGCATGAAGAAAATAAAGCAAAGTAAAAGGATGAAGAGCGGTCCCAGGTAGGGGCTGCAGGGAGATCCAGTTTAATATGAGGTGGTAACCTGGCAACAGCCAAGCCAAGACCTAAACAGAGTAGAGGAACAAGTCATGCAGCTTTCCAGTGGGGGAAAGAGTATTCCAGGCAGAGAGAAGAGTCAATGCAAAGGCCCTGAGGCAAGAATGTACTTGGAGTATTGGAAAAACTGCCAGGTTGGAGCAGCGAACACGAGGGAACAGCGTGGGAGGAAGAAGATGAAGTCATCGAAGGCACGGCCCACACTGCTCTGTGAGCCATGGCGTGGGCTTTGGATTCTATCTGCAGTGGATTGAGACTCCACTACAGGATTTTGAGTGTCATCTAGCTTGAGGATTGGATGGATTATTCAGGCTTGCCGTGTAGACACTGAATGTAAGAACTAGTTAGGAAGCAGGAGAAAAACTGGGAGGCCGTACAGTATTTTACACCTGTTGGACACACTGTGGGGCTCTGGGCTAACAGCAGTGGTGAGGAGAGGACACACTCTGAGCCCTACGGCTTGCTCTGGCACTCACTTCAGATGTTCGTGCGTTTCTGGAGATAGCTTCGATGCGCAGTCTGAGCTCTGGCATTTTCTAATTCTGAATGAATTAGAACTTTGTTATAAGAGTTCTTGTCAAGGGGAGAGCTCTGTGCATCTTGCTGAGATCTGTTGCACTTGGTGCTGTGATGTCCACTGGTGGTAAACACCAGTGAGCAGCTGGGTACCACGGTGTGGTGATGATGATGAGAGAATCTGTAGGCCTCACAGAAAAAGGTAAATTCTGGGCTAAATGTGAAGCTGGTCTTCGCTGCTCTTTAGATCTTTACTTTGCTCCCCTTGATTTTTTCCCAGGCACCTTGTGGTCCAGGGTTCTACTGGGCTGCCCTCTGAGCCACACCCTGTACTCTTTGCCAGTTCTTCCTACTCCCCAGCCCCCACCCCGCCCCCCCAACCTGGCTTCATCTTTTAAGGCCCTGCTTCAAGGTGCTTTCCTGAAACACCAATTCAAGTGAAGCGGCAGTAGCTACTAGTAGCTAACAGTGTTACCTTCCCGGAAACAATGCCATTTAGATTGAGGCCATCAGTGTCTTCCCTAAGCCAGTGAACAGAATGGGAATTGTAGGTTCTGTGGCAAGTCATTGAGGGAAGGGTTGTAACTGAGAGATTAGTTGTCCTGCAGATTTCATGGCAGAGTGGTTTACTGTCTTGCCCTGGACCCTGAGCCAGCTCTGTCATGAGCAGTGTGTGATGACGGTGTCCCCCTATTAGGTAGGAAGCTAGAAATTACCCCATGTGTGTGAGGGGCCTGAGGAAACCTTGCGCTGTCCCCAGTAAAGCCTTGCTACTTTGCTCTGTCTCACGCCTGTATTCTTTCTTGCATGAAGACAAGAATCCCCCGACTTCTCTTCTGTGACACCTCTCTTGCCTGAGCTCTTGTATCCTAAATGGTCTGTGCCCCCATCATTGGCCAGGAACCATGACCTTTGCCTTGGTTTCTACCAGCTAAACAACATATAAACCTTGGTCAAATTATTGGCACATTTTAGAACAAGGAATTTAAAACCCATGTGGAAATAACCTATATGTCCAAATCTGGCCCCAGGTTTTCTTCTTGGCCTTTCTACTAAGCATTTAGCCTTTCAGGATCAGCTCAGGGCTCATGCTTCTCTAACCTGGAAGCACAGGGTGGGGCCGAGGGTTTTAATCAGCTTAAGGAATGTCCCTCCTGTTGATTTGCCTGTTGCCATGGAGACTGGCTGTGCAAACACATGCTGTCACTCTGCTGCCCCAGGTCCTGTTAGCAAGCAGTGCCTGAGGCCCGGTTTGTCTGTGCCTTAAGGCAGCCTGGCCCTGGGCATTCCCTGCTGGCTGGCAGGTCCTACCCCCTGCTGGGAGCTGTTGAGCAGTCGAGGGCCGATGCTGATCTTCTTCCTTTTACAGTCATCCAACCACCTTTCCAGGGTGAATGGGGCTGAGGGGAGAGCCAGAGGAGCCTGCTGGGTATGGGTACCTGAATGACCTGAGATGGTGTCTTTAGCTGACTGGAAGGACTCACCTGGAGTCTGAAAATTGAAGTCTCCATTGCAGACAGGCAGCAGTGAGGACACAGCAGGTTCCATGGGTTATG